ATTTGGTTTTACCTTCAGGTAAAAATCTTGAGTTATAGTATGATGTAATCCTCTTCCCTACGTAGCTTAACCCTAGCAAGAAGTAACTTATCATGAACTTATAATTATATTTTACTTCAATAGATCCATAATGAAATTAACATGGGTACTCTTTCCAAAGAGGCAGCTGATAGCTCAGTGGATAGAGTGCTGGGCTTGAAGTCGGGAAGACCTGAGTTCAAATCCTGCCTTAAACACTTACTAGCTATGTGACCCTGGGCAAGTCATTTAACCTGTGTTAAAACAGGCAACAAAGGCTTGCTTTAATCCACTGGAGAAGGAAATGGCAAACCACTACAGTATCTTTACTAAGAAAACCCCATGGATAGCACTGGCATACTATGGTTCAAGAGGTCACCAAGAGTCAGACACAACTAACTGGCTGAACAACTCTTTCCAAAAGGGCATATTACAATCCATACATGGCTTCTTATCCTGTGTGCCTATGTCCATTAAATCTTTTACAGCTGTATCAATTAACATGGAGACCCTTCCCTTAGATCTTAGGACATTACAATGCATACCAGTACTTGGGCTATTCATCTGTTATACACTGGTCTCACTACATGAACAGCTAATCTATGAATATATGTGTGGATTTGAATATATATATATATATATATATATATATATATATTTATATATTTATGAATATATGAATATATATGTGACTATATATCCCTTTGATATCTCCTAGTGTTTCTGGTATACAAGTCATTGCTAGTTCTCAGCCACATAGCATCACTGGAAAAATACTGGTATTAAAATGTTTTGTTCTAGACTCACATAATCTCAAAGTTGGAAAGGACTTGAAAGCCCTCCTAATCCAACTCACAACTGAACAAGAATTCACTCTACAATATAGCCAACTAACATGTCTTAGCTTGAAGACCTCCAGTAAGGAGGAATCCCATGACTCCTAGAAGCAGCCCATTCTGCTCCCTGATACCTCTAATTGTCAGGAAATATTTCCATATATCAAGCCTAAATTTTTTTTAGAGGAGGCTGATTAGGGGATGATGAATTTATCGGGAAGTGAATCTTTAGGACTTCAATTTTATCTCCCAAAGAAGTGCTATGGATATAACTATTTGACTCATTTTAAGCTCAGTATGGATGGATTAAGAATTAATTTGTTGGATAAGACTGTGAAGGGAAAGGTTTTGGGGGAAGGGCCTCTACTATGTTGGCACAACAAAAAAGTAGGTCGGTTGCAGTCAGGCTTTTGCTCTTATCTTCATTTTTTGTAAAAAAAAAAAGAGGTCTAAGAGAGCAACAGAACTATGAGTTGAACTGGGTTCTTTATCAGCTACTATCAGGTCTTCATGTGTTTCTATATTTTCAGAGGGGTGATAAAAAAAAATGTCCCGTACATGATATTGTTGCTTTGGATGGGAACCAATTTACTCACATGTTTCAAGGCCCAGATGAACTATAGTTAACTTACATTCTGAGATTTCCTAGAGGCAACTTTAAGTTGAAGGGGAAATGATGCAAAGAAAGACTGATGTGAAGGGAAGACCCCATGACTAACTCTTTCTATGTAAGCCTAGTGCTTGGGATATTGGAGCATGGATTACATGATTTCCCTACTGCTTTTAATTCTGCCCTTTGGGGCAGAACAAATTTAATCCCTCTTCCACATGGCAGCCACTCAAATATTGCTTTTGTCATTCTAAATTGTTTCATTTAAATCTTCCAACATTTGTATTTTGTATTCTTCATTTGTTTTCATTTTCATAATTTCTCACAGTGAAATAATTTTTCATTAAATTCATATACTACAACTTATTTATCCATTTCCCAATCAGTAGGCATGTAGTTCGTTTTCAGGTTTTTTTGCTGTTATAAATAATGCTACAGATTGAGCACTGGCCCTGGAGTCAGGAGAACCTGAGTTCAACCTGGCCTCAGACACTTAACACTTACCAGCTGTGTAACCCTGGGCGAGTCACTTAACCCCACCGCCTAGCAAAAAAAGCAAAAAAGAAACATAAATAATGCTATAATGTTTTTTGTACCTGTAAGTCTTACCTTCTTGTGACTCGTTAGGGTAAATCCAAAATAAGACCATTGGGTCAAAAACATGAATTTTGAGCTGACTGTATAACTCCATGCTGCTTTTCGTTTGTTTGTTTTTTGGTTTGGGGCAATTTGGGTTAAATGACTTGCCCAGGGTCACACAGCTAGTAAGTGTCAAATGTTTGGTCTGAGGCTGGATTTGAACTCAGGTCCTCCTGACTTTGGGGCCAGTACTCTATCCACTGTGCCACCTAGCTGCCCCTCCATGCTGCTTTTCAAAATGGTTTTCTCATATACTCATTACCACTATATTTTATCATCTCGGTCAGTTGAATGGGTATAAGATACTACCTCAGAGTTGTTTTAACTTATATTTCTCTAATTGTTCTAATGTAAATAATGATAACAATAGCCATCATTTTACAGTGTTTTGAGGTTTACAATGTGTTTTACATTTATTATTTCACTTGAAGGTTGAGTGACTTGCTTAGAGTTATACAACTGGTAAATGTCTAAAAGCAGGATTCCAATTCAGGTCTCTGACTTCAAATTCAATGTTCTACCCACTAAAACATCTATTTGTCTATTATTATCATTATGAGTAATACTGATAATAATTACAATTACCTTCTGGACACTTTCTGTCCCAAATTATAAACCTTTTAAAACAGCTACTAATTCATCCTTTTGTCCTACTCTTTTATTTACAGCATTAAGCAGCTGATCACTTACGTTCCTTCTTTTAAGAACTGTATATTTATATTTGTTGACCACTTATTTACTGAAAAATAGTTCTTATTCTTATAAATTTGTGGCAATTCCATGAAGATTTTTTGACATCATCCTTTTTTCCTGAGGTTTTTAATACAAAATTGTTTCTTCCTGTCTATATATTTTATTATTACTTTGGAAACAATGTTTTTCATTGTATAAAAATTATTTTTGTTATTTCTTCTAATTTCTTCCACGCTGAAGTGGTTTAGAAGTAATCTGCAAGGGAAATTCAATAAGGCAAATATCAACTGAAAAAAACACTGGCTGCCTGAGTTGCTTTTCAAGATGGCAAACTCAAACTGCAAAAGAACAAGTTGAATTCAAAGTAATCTTTGCTCTGGTAGTCAATCACACCCTGTTATTCCCCCATGATCACACTAAAATAGACGCCCAGAGCATAGCCACAGCAAACTGTTTTCTTGCTAACATCTCTAAAAAGAAAAGAACCTGGAATAAATGTACCATGGAGACTATTTCAGTACTGCTCAAGGAGCATGCATTCTGAATAGGTCAGAGTCAAAGACTATGGTAAGGACCAAAGTCAACATGGCTGCATGCAGCTAAGATTCTCGAAAAAAAATACACAATTTCCAATCCTCTTTCTTCCTCCTTTTCTATATAGGTACAACACACTGTATACCTATATTCTTTGTCCAAGATGTATGTACTGATAGGCTAGCTTAACGGGATGTCCAGTCATCTATGTATCATAGCCTGGACAACAGGCATTTTTCCTGTGTAAAATGTTAGGCAAAATTCTTTTGAGTGGCTGTTGATCTCATTCAGGATGCTATTCATAGTATTCTAAGGCTGATAAAAATCAGTATATCAACCACAAATAGCAACTGGAGGAGTTTAACTTCAGAGAGAATGAATGCCTCTTTCATTTGGATTCTGTGATGGACATCCTCCATAACCTAGGCAAATACTTTTGGCAAATATCCATCACCCTGTTTCATGCCTCACTTGATATGGATAATCAGAGGGTTGCCAAACAAAATTAATTATTTTTGTTGTTTTATTTATCAAGGAATTTTTATATCTTAATATATACATGAAACACCTTTTCAGAGAACATTTAAAGGTATGTTTTACTCTAATGAGTCAATATTCTTATGATCAGCAAAAAATAAAAGCAGTGGTATTTTATTTTCTGTGCCTTTGAGTCAACTGTAAATACGAGTAACTGTATGATGCCTGCTGTATTTTGTATAAGCTTTTCTATAGCTCCTCATATTTTCATCAAGGATATCTTTTGACACATCTGTAGATCAATCTCATAAAGATTTTATAGAGAGAAGAAAGTAAGTATAATTGTTATGTGATGAATTAATTATGAAATGATTATCTCTTTCCCAAAGTTAAACTGCAAAGAACACAGGTGAGGATGACTGATTAAGGGTTCCTTTACCAATCATTATCTTGATCAATATTCTAAATGCATATTTAATGCTTTACCAAAATTTATTATGTAGCATAAAATAGAAGAAAAAATTTAAGATACAAAGAATTTAAATTCTTAAAATATTATCAGTAATTGGGATTATTAATAACCAATACTAGTAATACAATTACCTTTCTAACCAACTTGTGTCACAAATTATATGCATTCTAAGACAGTTACTAATTCAGACTTCTGTCTCACTATAGTTTATGTACAGAATTAAAATTCCTCCAAGCCCCATTGTTTGTTGTATTACTGATTTGTGCTATGATGTGTCAGTCTCTAGGGACTCTTTTGTGTTCTTCAGTTTCAGTATGCTACAAAGGGTTATAATAATATTGCTTTTTGCTCTGAAGGATGTTGTATGGAATTTCTGTTTTTAGGTGTTTATAAAATCTTTTGAAATCATATGTCAAATGGTAATAATAATGATACAGGAGACTTGTGACAGAATGGCGGGCTTACATAAACAGAAGGAAAAAACCCACTAAACTTCCACTAAACTCTCATAACCTATCTGATATAGCAGACTTGAGTTGAAGAATAAACTTTCTTCTTTTCCCCTACTAATATCTGCTATCTCTAAGAATAATCACAAAAGCTTTGCATAAATGAACTTTAAAAAAAAACACACCTTATGATATATGGGTTAATCAACCTTAAGTTAATAAGAGCTATATGAGATGGACACGACATTTAGACAAGTGTTAGGAGAACAGGATGAACATTTGTATATACCGGTTTTATTGTTGTTGTTGTTGTTTTTACAAAATGTTTATCAGTATTTATTAGCTGGTAGATCTTACCAATATTGTAAAGAAAGTTGTTTAAAAAAACCTTTAAGATAAACTGAGTAGAGGAGAGAAATATTACTATCATGGTGTAAAAGCTGAGGCATAGGGAATTATTGAAGAACAAACTGGAACAATAATTAGTGTACCTTATGAATTAGGTTTACTGAGGCTGTATCTACCAACCTGAGTGGGCTTTAAGGATATCATCAGGATAATTCAAATAAAAACTACATTTATTTCCATTACTTGAATATTTTGGGTCAATTGTTTCTCAAGTCTGAATTATCTAGACAACTGCCTTAACACTTCACTGTGATAAATACCATCAAGGATGAATGTCCTGAGGTTATTCTAATCTCTAGCCAGGGAGTGGGAAGTTGAGAGAATCAAGGCACATCTGATATTCCTTTTATAATGTACCTTTTCCAAACACTTGCTTAATGTCCAATATTCAATCTAAAATGGATGAGAAAACAAACCTGTATCTGTCTACTTGCAATGACAAATTTCATCCACTATCCATTATTAGGATATCTCAAATGTTGCTTTTAAAATGGGCCATGATCATTTATGGTTCCTAATTTCCAATCTCTTTAATAATGTTAATATACTGTCCTGAAAAAAAAAGGAAAATTAAAACAATTTCTGGCTACTATTCAGTGTATCTAAAAGCTTCAGCAACAAGAAGCATCTTCAGATTTGACTGCAAAGTTTTTAGGAGATACCAACCAAATTAAATTGAAATGGGGCCCATCTTTCCTTCAGCAAACTATAGTTACATCACTGACCATTTTTCAGATAGTAAAACCCTATTTTCAGTGTCACTTCAGACAATATCACCCTGTCCTGAAATGGAACAGACTGTGTCATCTCTGCAGCTTGTCATATTAACTACAACTTAGCTGTCACATTGAGCAAAAAAAAAAAATTCTGATGGAGAATAAGAAGTTATGTATTAATAAAGGTTTCAGTTTCAGCAATAAACAAAGGAAGCTATAGCAGAGACACACTGGGCATCTGGCACTTACTAACTCTATTGAGAAGCGTCTTCTACTTTGCAAAATTAACAGTCAATTTCCACATATCCTTTTATTGCTATGAAATTAATTTATTTTGCAAGATGACTGGAGAGGAAAGAATATATAAATGTATATCCTTCATTATGTGTGTTATACAGACAGAATACCTGTGCCATGTGTCCATGGAAAGGAACTACAGCTATATAAACACATATATAATATTTATACACACATGTGCATATGTGTATACACCTGTAGTTCCATTCCAGGGACATCTGGCTCAGAAGAACAATGAAAATAAATGTTTTTTATAAATTATTCTCTTTTTAATTAATACCTTAACCAAAATTTCATTTTCATGGGTTTTTCTCCTACTTAAGAATTAGATTATGATTTTTTCTCAAACAACATTTAAATATTTAAACCTAGTGCTTGATGATTACCTTCAGCAGATCCTTGCTACTGGATACATTTCTAAGTTGGCCAATGCATTTGAGCTAAGGAATTGGCTATGGCTGGCTACATGCTTATAATGCATTTGAGTACATTCTGTAAATTCATCAGAAGCATGCTTCTCCATAATTAAGACAACAGAACATAGCTATATGTTCAAGAAATTACTTAAGGCAAAAGGACCCATGTTTTTCTGTGCATGTGCTAAGATACTTGTCATGAACAATGAGGCTGCAATACAGGTCAGAAACAAACAAGAGTGCAAAGCGCTATTTCATAGCCTAATAACTAAGCTTAAACATTCCTAAGTAGCATTAACCTGGGGAAAAGAATTTTTGTGTCCTGAGTTTATTATATTTAATTTCAACTACTTTTTAAGAATATGTCACAGCTTTAATTCTTAAAAACAAATGAAAGATCTATGAAAATAAAGGTTTTTTTAAAAAAATTAAGTTCACAATTAGTAATTATGTGGTGTATTAAATCAATCCTTACTGAAAGTGCCAAGTTACACACACACACACACACACACACACACACACACTTTTCTCTTCCTTCTTGGTGCTGCAGTTGTTCCATTTGACTCTTAACATATATTAACAGACAAATTCACCAAGCAAATAGCCAGCTCTAGCGATTGTGTTTAAAGTCATGAGTGACAATGTTCATAAGTAAATACCTTGTCGATTAAAATTTTTAGTTTTTGGAACTAATTTACTATTATTGCATTTAATTTATCTTTTTTTCCAGCTAAATCTTATTGAATAATAAAAATAAAACTGAGCAACTGAACAAAAAACCCATTAAATGAAATGATGCAGACCAACCTTTAATTGCACCCACAATATTTTGGTCTAGTCCTTTCCGGTTGTCATTGAGTCCTCTTTTCCTCTTTCCATTGGGCAACGAGTTTGCCAAAGTCTTGTCATCAAAAAATGCACACACCAACTTTCTAAAGAGAAGACTTCCTGAGCGAGTGTAGTTTGACAATATAGAGTCCAGCTGAGATTTAGGCATAAACACATCAAAGCCTTCAGCAAGTTGCACTTCTGGCTACCAAAAGAACATGAATATTGTATTAAAAAGTATATTTATCTCATTATCTCATATTCTATTTGAACATTTGTACATCACAAAACATTGCTATTTATTGAAATGCCCATACATATACATATGATTCATCCCAAGTTTCTGCATACAAATATTTCTAGTTTGATTTGCACAACCATTTATACTCCAAATTAAAAAGCTAAATGCTTTAAAAAGCATCTTTATTTTTAATTATTAGAGCTGTCTTAAAATGGCTTACTAAGATTGTCTTTATAATTCTATGACACTATGAAATAAACATGCTAAAAAACTATATTACAAAAACCTATTATGATTGTTTCAAACTTGAATATGTTGAAATATAACTAGGGCTAGCCTACCGTAACTTTGAAGATATAAATCAATTTACATTTTAAAAATGACAACTTCCAAAATCAAAAAGAAAAATGCTTCATTTAAACAGGCTCTTCATTAGAGCTTTTACTATAAAATATTCTGTGCACTTTTAAGTCTGAAAGTCTCTCCTCTGCCCCATTAAACTATTCCTTGTATTGTACTTATTTGTATTTCTGTTGTATTTTAAGGTTTTTAAAGATTTTAATTAGATTTTAAGTTCTTTGAAGACATGACCCGCATTATTTTTCATCTTTGTATCCCCAGAGCCCTAGCATAGGTGCTAGGGCTTACATAGGAGCTTAATGAATTGTTATTGAGTTGAGTTGAAGTCAGGCATTGCTTTAACTGTTCTAAATAGAAATGTAAAGAGTCAAGGTTACTTTCTGAGTTGTTATAGGCCATATGAGCAGTCAAGGAAAGGAACCTCATAACAGATTTATCCCTAACTCCTACCATCCCTGACTTCTGTTGAAGTTTCTAAAACAAAATGTTGGGGTCTTTTTAGACAAAAGAGTTATTATGATCAGAATACTGCTTCTACTACATAGGTCCTCTTATAAGGTAGGGGGCACCTACTTTCTCTTCTAACTAGAAGAATAAAAAATTATTTCGGAGATGTTCTATCAGACTCAGAAGAAATGACTTACCTGATCCTAAGGTACCTCAGAAAGAGTTCATTAGATGTTAGGGTTTCTTACCTGAATGAACATTATCATCACATAGATTCAGAATTGGAAGGTTATTTCATCTGAATCACACTTAAAAACGAATCTCTACTACAATATTACTAACAAGTGATATATTAGTTCCTGTTTGAAGACCCCACTGGGAACTGGAACCCACTCTCTCTTAAGGAAACCCACTTTATTTTTTGACAGTTCTGATGACTAGAGTTTTTTTCCCCCTTTATAAAGCTCAAATTTGCCTTTCTGTAACTTCCGCTAATTGTTCCTAGTTCTTAGAAGCAGCTAGATGGCACAGTGGCTAGATAGTACAATTCAAAGCTGGCCTCAGACACATGATATCTGTGTGACTCTGGGTTAAGTCACTTATACTCTGTTTCCCTCAGTTTCCTCATCTGTAAAATGGGAATAATAATAGCACTTACCTCCCAAGACTGTTTGAAGGATCAAATGAGATGACACTTATAAAACACTTAGCACAATGCCTAGCACACAGTATGTGTTACTTAAATAAGTTATTATTCTTAAATTTTTTATTACTATTGTTATTGCAGAATTGTAGATCAATAAAACTCTCCTCTAAAACCCCTCAAATAAATTAAGATGGCTACCAAGTTCCTGCTAAGGTTTTTTTTTTTTTTTGGCCAAGCTAAACATCCCTAGTTCCTTTAGATGCTGCTTATAACGCCATAGTCTCCACCTTGTTCACATTCTGGTCTGACCCCAATTTATTAAAGTTCTGCCTAAAGTGTGGCAGCCATAACTGAACACAAGAATAAAGATGCGGTCAGACCAGTGCAGACAGAGTACAGCCTGAAGAAGGAAAGACATGGCCAGAGGATGGTGAAGATGAGCAGGAAATGATAGTCATCTCTTACAGTTAGAAATAGTAGGTAGAAATTGTGAAGAGGAAAGTTTAAGTGTGATATAGGGAAAATCATCCTAACAGCTAATCCAAAATGGAAAAGGCAGCCTAACAAAACAGTGATTTCCCATCACTGGAGGTCCTCAAAGAAAGGCTGAATAACCACTTGTCTATAATATAGAAGGTACTAGGTAGCCTCTGAGGTCACTTCCATAATTACTTACAGTACTCCAAAAGTCATCAAAACAAAAAAAATAATCCCACTGTTAGAAGGCAGAACTAATACGTTCTTCGGAACACTGTCATGCTTAATGCTATCTAAGATCGTCCTAGCTATTTTGGGTGGCCATAATGCATTTTTGAGTCAACTAAAACCCCAGATCTTTTTCACGTGACTTGCCATCTAGTGATCTCTTCCTTATTTCATATTTGTGTAATTTTTGTGATGCTAAATGTCAGATCCATGTTCAGCAATAGCAAGAGACAGAAGTACTAAGAGACAGAGGTAAATATCCTCTTGTTAATCACCCCTCAATACCTCCATTCCTTATCTCTTCACTGAAAAATTAAATAAATTACTCTAAATGTTAGTTGTAGGGGCCTAGAGATTTGAGACTCGAGAATGTGAAGAAAATTATGAGAAATTAAGCCAGTTTTGATATTGAAGACTTCCATTTAGACAGACACAACTGTACAGTCAGTATTATAAAAGGTAATATGTTGCTAGGATTAGGATATTCTTCTGGAAAACCCTTATTTGCATAAGGAATATCAAGATTTTGTGGAGAGGAACAGGGATGGGTACTGACTTGGCTTTCATCAAAGAGGAACTCCTGAATTAAGAAATGTCTTCTACAAATGCAGATTGGCCTAGAGCACCATGAATTTAAGTGATTTGGGCTCCACAACAAGTATGTGTCAGTGTGCCACTCCCACTGCCAGTTCCAAATTGTGTTAGTGTATTAGTATAAAATATATGAGAAATTGGAAAACAGTTGAGATTTGGGCGGTTTATGTAAAAAGGGGTATTGCAGAAACTTTCTGCCACGGAACCATGTGAAAACCATTGCTTGGTAGACTTTAAGTGTAAATTACTATGCTTTTAAATCTTTTTTAATAAATAAATCTTATTTATTTGCCCCCCAAGTGGCATATCTTTGCTTCATATTAGAAGTGAAACAAAAAAAAAGAAGTCTTTAAAAAGTCATATCTTTGGAATTCTTTGTCTACAAGGAAAAAAATTATCCATAAAGCCCTACTTCAAGACTATATTGGAGTATGAAGCTGAACATGGGCTCTCAAAGGCTTGTTGTTGTTTGTGTTTTGTTTTTGAAGACTACCAATGACATCACAGAATGTTCTGGCAGGCCCTATGAGGTTTCAAGTACAATTGTAGCAAACAGCCTATGTCTATTTTCCAAAGATTAGCTTAGCAAAATATGGAGAGTCATGCCTGGCTACTGAGTAGTGAATTTTTGGGCCATGGCAGTCCATGAAACAAAATGGCCCTCAATCCCCTTCTGCTTCTATACTGTTAGAGTGGTAGAAAGATCATCTCTGGAGTCAGGAAGACCCGAGTTTAAACACAAACCCAGACATTTGCTAACTCTGTGACCCTGAGCAAGTCACTTAATCTTTTTTTGCCTCAGTTTCTTCAACTACAAGATGGGGGTGATTATTTCGTCTACTTCCTAGGGTTGTTGTGAGGATTAAATGATATAATATTTATAAGGTGTTTAATATAGTGCCTGACACATAATAGGTACTATATAAAGGTGATGATGATGATGATGATGATGATGATGATGATGGCCATCATCTATAAGCATTAACTTAGCTGCTAGTATTCTAAGTGTGACATCTTTGAACAGTAACATTATACCAGAAGAACAGGGGTTCTTGATCTGGTACCATTAACTAGATTTTAAAATATTTTGGTAACTATTTCAAAACAACTGCTTTCCTTTATAATCTTATGTATTTTATTTTATGCATTTAGTAACATTATTCTCAGAAGGGGTCCATAGACTTCCCTAGATTGCCAGAGGGGTCAAGGTCGCAAAAATGAAGAACTCATCTATTAGAGGAACTGAATAGTATAAGTCTTGAAATTCTCACTAGAAATGAAATAAAAAAAATAAAAGAAAGTTATAGCTAAATGGAAGGAATACTGATAGATTCTCCATAGAGTAGCAAATAGAGGAATTATTATTTATCAGTCATGGGCAACAAGAAACATCACAAGTTATTTGGTATTCATGATAAGCACTAGTTTCTGTGCTGTTAAAAAGATAAGGAAATAATAAAATTCTATGAAGAAGTCACTAAGACTCTACGATTAAGAAATATATATATACCCTAATACACAGTAACTTCAACGGAAAGATTGTTATAGGGGAGAAAGTTTAAAAAAATGTTGTAAAATTTGACTCAAAAATAAGAAACAAGAAAGAAACAAAGAATAGGCTTATAGACTATCCTGAAGTCTACCACCTATATAACCTATATTGAGAAGAGAACTGGGAAACACCAGGCATGACAAACACAAAATAATATCACAAAAATGAAATTAATTCTATTCTAATAAACAGGAGAAAACTGGTTATTGACGGAGTAGTTGCTTCAAAATCAACAGTATGCATACAGTCAGACTATCACTTTGTTGGAGGAAAAGATCAAAATCAATACCAAATTAGAAAGATTTAAAAAAGAGAAGATATGTAATATAATTTGGGCAAATGCAACCTGATTTACTAGGTTCTTGATGCTAAAAAATGGGAAATAGATAAAAGTATGGACTTTGACACAGGCTAATCACCATTTCCTAAGGAATTTTAGTTTGTTTAGGTTTTGGTCTGGACCTTTGATTTCTCAAATGATTTCTAAAATGCAGAAACTCCTTTGCAACCTTAGAGATTTGCCTGGAACACTGAGAGGTAAAATGACTTGTCCATAATCAGTAAGTCAACAAGAATTCATTAAGTACCTATTATGTGCCAATCAGTGTGCTAAGTGCTGGAGATGGAAAGAGGAAAAAACAGACTCTCTGCTAGCAGGAA